AAAACTGTGAATATTGCAGGAAAGGACTTGACATCCATGAGCGCTTGGAAACTCTGTACAGAAGATGTCAAATTGTGGCAGCGCGGGTCGTCAGGCAAGCGTGATCTCTCTCTCTCTCTCTCTCTCTCTCTCTCTCTCTCTCTCTCTCTCTCTTTTTCTATCTGTGTGTACGCATGTCTACCTGTCCGACAGCACGAAGTTGTCTCCCTTGCAGGCCAATTCTGGTCTCGCATGTCACGTTTGGCGTCGTGTTGCATCGGTGACTGGTGAACATGTCGATAAAGCAGAGTGTTGTTTTCCACGCTGCAATAGGTATACTACTGCATGTCATGACTGTGTGTACCATTGGTGGTTGTTGTCCCATCGCCCCGCGGTAGCCAACCTCTCTGTTTGTCCAGTGTATGTATGCATCTCTGCGACAGGTTGACTACTGAGGGCCATGTAAGTGTACACCGCTGCTGGTTGTACTCGTTCTGGCCCTTAGTAGTCAACCTCTCGCAATCAACATTTTTTTTTTTTCCCCAGCTGGGTGAGGTTGACTATTGCGTACGATGTCAGTGTTTGCCGACGCTGGTTGTTGTCCTGATGGCCCGCAGTAGCCAACGGCCCTCTAACGCACTGTAGTTTAGCCTGTATGGGCGAGGTTGACTACGCCGGGCCATGTAAGTGTACACCGCTGCTGGTTGTTGTCGATCTGGCCCGCAGTAGCCAACCTCGCGCTGGTGCCACATTTTTTCATGATTTCTCAGGCGGGTGAGGTTGACTACTGCGTGCCATGTCAGTGTGTACCGAAGCTGCTTGTTGTGTCAATGGCCTGCAGTAGCCAACCGCCTTCTAAGGCCCCGTATGTCTGCCTGTATGGGCGAGGTTGACTACTACGGGCCATGTAAGTGTACACCGCTGCTGGTTGTTGTCGATCTGGCCCGCAGTAGCCAACCTCGCGCTGGTGCCACATTTTTTTATGAGTGGCCAGGTGGGTGAGATTGGGTACTGGGTGCCATGTCAGTCTATACCGAAGCTGGTTGTTATGTCAATGGCCCGCGGTAGCCAACCGCCCTCTAACGCAATATATGTCTGCCTGTACGGGCGAGGTTGTCTACTGCGGGCCATGTAAGTGTACACCGCTGCTGGTTGTTGTCGATCTGGCCCGCAGTAACCAACCTCGCGCTGGTGCCACATTGTTTTCTGATTTCCCAGGTGGGTGAGGTTGCTTACTGAGTGCCATGTCAGTGTGTACCGAAGCTGCTTGCTGTTAACCCTCTAACGCAGTGTATGTTTGCCTGTATGGGCGAGGTTGACTACTGCGGGTCATGTACGTGTACACCGCTGCTGGTTGTACTCGTTCTGGCCCGCAGTAGCCAACCTCGCGCTGCTGCCACAATTTTTTATTTTTTTTTTCCAGCTGGGTGAGGTTGACTGCTGCGTGCCATGTCAGTGTGTACCGATGCTGCTTGTTGTCCCAACGGCCCGCAATAGCCAACCG